CATTCATTCATTCATTCATTCATTCATTCATTCAAAGTCACAAGTTTACATACACACTGCCTGGGAAAGTCCAGATGAAGATGTCATGCTTTAAAAGCTTCTGATTGGTTAACTGATAACACTTGAGTCACACCTGATGATACATTTACAGACACATCTAAAACACTGTTGGTCTGTGTTGCATCATGGGAAAAAACAATCAACCAAAAGAGAAGAATAGATCTACGAATCCTGGTTCATCTTTGGGTCCAGTTTCAAAATGGTCGAAGGTTCTTTGGTTCAAACTAGACACTGTCTAATCGTGCCCCACCAAGAAAGAGGACAGGTTCTGCAGACCCTGTGAAGATGCTGCTGAAGCTGATCAGAGTCAAACAAGTCCTGGAGCACCACAGACTGAAAGGACACTCAGAGGATGAAGACAAGTCTCTCAAAGTAACATAAAGACCGAAGACAGTTTGTAAATGGATACAGGGACAAAGACCTGAATGTCTGGAGACATGTCCTGAGGTCTGAAGGACTAAAACTGAACCATAAAAACCATGGCTCCATTAGGAGGACAGAGGAGGAAGCATCATCTTGACTGTAAAGCATGGAGGAGGCAGCATCATGATGTGGGCTGTTTTACTGCAGGAGGGCCTGGAGAACTTCACTGAACATCATGAGGACAAGGACATGGTGGAAATRTTGACGTTAAAAYTTGGACACAAATGGGTCTTCAGATGGACAATGTCCCTCAGCAGATGGACAAATTATCTACAAAGAGTCTTCAGGACAACAAAGTCCATGTTCTGGACATCACAAAGCCCTGACCTCMGTCCTGTTGGACATCAGAGGACAGAGCTGAAACCTGACTGAGTTAGACCAGGTCTATCAGGAGGACCAGCACAAAAATTGAGAGAACAATTTGAAAGAAGAAAACCCAGAACATTTGACCTACATCAGATGGTTTAAAGACAAAGACACCAAAGACTGACAGCATGGAGACTCCTCACACTGAAGAAAAATAAAGTCTCTATAGAACAACTAAAGTCTGATTTAATGTCAGACAGAAGAAAAATGGTTCCATGTCTTTTTTCCAGGAGATAAAAACATCAGGTTTAAACTATGATTATTATGGGATGGTTCTCAAAGCTCATGAGACTCTGCAGTCTGTGCTTTCATCTCTCCTCTGGTCCAAATGAACACATTCAGGTTCTTCTTCTGGTTTCTGGCTGCTTTCTGATGCTTGCTGGAGGACCTCCTCTTCCTCCACCACCACTTCTTCCTCTTCTTCCTCCTCCTCCTCCTCTTCATCAGCCTCTTCACAGCTGTCCATGTCTCCGACTGACACCTCCTCCAAAGGACCGGTGCTGGACTCTTCCAGAAGTTTTCCCTCCTGGAGGCTCAGCAGGGCCAGTTCAGGAACAGCAATKGCTCTCAGTTCCTCTGCAGTCATCTCTATGAGCCTCTTCACACCTGAACTTTGTCCAACGTTAGAGCTTGTTGACAGAGTCTGACTCCTCAGGTCCTTCAGATCCCTTACCTGGGATCCCTCAGGCTTCTTTGACAATGAATCCCTCAAACCCAAATCAGACCTGGACTCCATTCTCGCATTCAGAGGTTCAGCAAAGTGAGATTCGATAAAAACAACCTCCTCAGAGTTCCTGTTCACATGTGAATCAGGTTTTTCAGCAGGACTGGACCCGGACTCTTCCTTTTTACTGGATCTGGACTCTTCTCCAACATTACAGTCCTCAGCAGCTGAACAGACTTCACTTTTAGAACTACACGGTTCTTTCATCCTGCCTGAGGATGAACAGCTTGGACCTCCTGTTTCATTTTGTTGGGTCAGGTTTAGTTCGTTGTAAAAACCATGTCCTAGTTCTGGTCCAGTACACAGACTGGACTCATTTTCAGCACCATTTTTTAAGGTATTCTCTAAATCTAAGGTCCACCGATGGAGAGAGATCAGAATTTCTGAGAAGATTCTTGAGATTTCAACCACAAAAGCTGGTTTATTGACCAGTCCTTGTAGCATGTCTTGAATGGTCTTCTCCAAACCTATCCACATTTCCTCTGGAACTGAAGACGTCTTCCATGCTGGACATTCAGGACAAGCTTTAGCTTGGACTGGCTCATAAATGCTCTGGYCATGAAATTTCTCAGATGGTCCAGACCTTTTAGGAAAAGATGGATGAGCCCCTTCAGGTCTCAGTTGGGTTTCAGGACTCTGCTGTTCAGGGACACCAGTACCAACTGTGGACACAACTGTCTCTGCTGCGTTTTTAAGGCCTTGTTCTTCAGTCACAACAAACCTGTCAACAGACTCTGTATCCGAGGACCAAGCTTCCTTTTCCAGAACCCCAGAAACATTTAGTTTTTGCTTTTTTTCCTGAGCCGGATGCTCTGGTCCGTCTTCAATCAGCTGTTTTTGAATGTCTTCGTGTCTCAGAGGGTTTCTGTCCATGCTGGTGGGAAAATCTTTGGTCAGCTCTTCTTCTTCTCCTCCCTGGTTTCTTGGCTGTTCGTCTGTGGCAGACTGGTTCCTTCCTGGGTTTTTGTTTGTTGTGCTCTGCCTGGTTTGATCACTTGTAGGTCTGAGGTTGGGTTGGAGGTGGTCTGGAAGGTGTTTGCTGCTCTCTACTGGCTGCAACTCTGGAGTTTCTCCTGAAAGATCATGAGATATTGAAGAACCAAATGAAGCTGATATTCTGGAGTTAAACTATACAGAAGGAGAAAATGAACCAAGTGAAAGAGGAATGGAAGTTCAGAAGAATTAGAAGAGGATTCTTGTTACGATCTTCAGCGGACGTTAGAGATAAAAGTTTAAAACCATCACCTGAAAAAATCTTCTCATGCAGGTAAACTGAAGTGTGAACTTGTTAAAAACATGTTTAATCAACACTGGTCTCTGAACCTGAAGTGATCAAAGGTTTTAGTTATTTATTTTCAGGATTTAGTGAAATACAGATTTGTTATTCAGAAGTAGGGGTGTAAGGGCACGCTTAAGTCCAGATTTTTTTAAGTACCTTGATTTTATGTGCTGGTTCTGTGTACTGCAACGTTAATTTTGACATCATGGGATCAAAACAACATCTAACAACTGATTAACAGAACCTCACCAAATATGCCAGTTGTGTATCAATTTTGAAGTGAAGTTTCAGTACTTTGCATCACATCATGGTAGATGGCTCAGGTTTAAAGTCAAGGTTTGGTTGGACTGTTTTGTGTTGATCTCGTAGTTCTTTAGGTTCAGTTTATGTGCCCTCCTTTTGTGTGAGTGTTTATTTATGGACCCTGGTTTTGGGATCACAGTCCAGAGCGTACGTTGGGTTTAGGGTAACTAAAGCTTAGGATTACAGTTCAGTGCGTATCTCTGTCTTAGGGTCATATTTGGGTTTGTCACTAGTATTTTAGTCCCTGATGTCTGTGCCATCACTGTCTGAGATGAACAGATGTGCCCTTACACCACTAGTTGTTAATACAGTATTTTTCACATTGCTAAAGAATAAACCAGGTTTAATCTGTTCTTACCTATCTTCCCCTCTCTGTCACTCTGAGGGGACTCCTCAACCAATTGAGAGGCAGATTCTGAGCTGACAAATTCCTCGCTCACTTCTGAGTCACCGTTGGTGGTGACTTCAGGTGAGATGACCACACCATGTTTCTGAACGGCACAGAAACAATTATCAGTGTCTGTGTCCCGATCAGACAGAATCATGTGAAGCTAATATCAATGATCAAACCACAAAAATAAAATGCAGATTAAATACAACAGACACAGGTGAAGAAAACCAAAAATAAAAATCATGAAGTCAAGTTTTACAAAACGTTTCAGAATTCTATTTTATCACAAACAAGTTATTTTTTACTTTTCTTCCAACGAACTCACTCTTTTGTTCCGACAAATATATTGATTTTATATGACAAAGTTTGACAGAAATGACTGTATTTGTTCAGAGTGAGACGTTAGACTCATTTTATGTGTTTATTTTTGTGATACTTATTTGATCCACAAGAGGGCAATATGCTTAACTTTATTTAGTCTTTGTTCCACTGGTGGGCAAAACAATTCCAGATGTGTGTGTGTGTGTGTGTGGGGGGGGGGGGGTTATTTTGAAAACTGGGGCATCAGGGGACTTCCTCCAGTTCTTACCTTTAGTTTGACACTCTTACAAAAAATAAAACTGTTGAAAGGCTTTAAGGAATTTCAGGGGCGACTGTTAAGGGGTTAAATATTTTTTTCAGTCACATTAAACTCAATGTGCTTCACAAAAAAACAAACTAAACATACATAAAGCAAAACAGCATAAAATGAAAACAGAAGTTTATTGCACAAAAAAGTTTTGGTTTCCTGTCAGGAAAGAATATTTCTGGGTTGATTTAGAAAATAAATATAATGTTCTTCTTTTTCTAAGCTAAAAGTAAAAGAAGACATTTCTTTGTTCAGATGTTTGAAACAAGATTTTTACTAAAGTAAATTTGAATAAACCTAAAACATTTAAGATCTCCAAGATCTTACGTAAATGGATTTGGTCCCATTTGACCTTCCAACTGTTGGACACTTCATCTCATCCCAAACAAGTCAAATCTGAGATTAATCTCAGATTAATCTGAGATAAACAACTTCATGAAAACTGAGTCCTTTCAGGTTTGTCAGATAAAACTGATGAACATCTCCAGGTTATTTTAGAACAAGTCAGGATGTGTTTTAAATCTAAGCCTACACTTTATTCCTGCAGGACATCAGGAAGCCTCACTGAAGTCCAAATACCTTCAGTARATCCTGCAGTCGGACCACCTCCACTCTGAGCTGGTCACGTTCAATCTGAACGATGTCAGAGATTTCTCTGTGGCGCTCCAACGCCTGACAGAGGCGGCCAAAGAACGACAGAATGAATTAGTGGAAAAGGAAACAGAAAACAGGAAACAGGTCAGAAAACAGAACTCTGTAGAGTTAATGGAAATGTTTCCAAATACAAAAACAACCTTAACATCATCCATCATGCTTTTTGTTTCTGAATGGATCCACTTTACATTTCTGTTATCTTGTCTGGTAATATAAAACTCTTTCAGCTCTGCAGAACCCTGGATTCAAACACCAGCTGATAGAACAAAGATCTTCTTGAAGACAGATGTGTTACTCTACACTTCAACTAAAACTGGAGCTAAAGGTTCAGACCAGAACTGCTTCTGATTTATTGGTCCACTTCTAGTTTTTCTGCCTCTGGAAATGCTAAAATCCCTGAACGTGTGCAGAGTCGTACCGAGATCTTTTTCTCCTTCCACTGCAGAGCTTCCTGCAGGTCAGAGACCTCCTGATGGAAACTGCTGCTCTTCAGACGTAGATCAGACACTTCCTGTCCACCAGAGACAGGGACATAGACTGTCAGAAACTAGCAAAGACTGGGAGAGACCAGTAGAGATCAGCAGAGAACAGAAAAGACCAGCAAAGACCAGAAGGAAATGTGTGAGACCAGCAGAGACATCAGTACCTGGTTTGGGTTTGTACTCAGACCAGGAACAGTTTTTAGCAGCATTCTGCCCTCAGATACCAATTTATTTTTATTTCAATCAATATTAGGAACACATGAAGACTTTCACTGCATCTGAAACTGATTGAACGTAACTTCAGATTAAATGGAAAAAACGTAGTTTTAATCTGAAAGCATTAAGTTTTTGTATACCACTTCCAGTTGGCTTCGTTTGTTGTGTTTCACGTGTGGTGCTGTTTGTTGTAGTATTTCTTATGAAATGTGTATCATGTATTTTTCACACCCTGTGTTTACAGCTTATTTTGTTTGATGCATATTGTGTATTTTGTGTACCATGTTTACTGTGGATTGTGGTGTTGTATACTGTGTATTTTGTGTATTAACTGTATTGTTTTTCTGACCGTCAGCAGCTCCTCGGTTCTTCTCAAAGTTTCCTTCATCTCTGTGAACTGKACCTGCAGGACTCTGTGAGCCTGACGCTCACGTTCCAACTCCTGAAGAGACACAACAGGAAGTTTAGATGCAAACAACCACAACACAAACCACACCACTAACACAAACCACCAACACAAACTACACCACCAACACAAACTACACCACCAACACAAACTACACCACCAACACAAACTACACCACTAACACAAACTACACCACCAACACAAACTACACCACCAACACAAACTACACCACCAACACAAACTACACCACCAACACAAACTACACCACCAACACAAAGCACCAACACAAACCACTAACACAAACCACTAACACAAACCACACCACTAACACAAACCACCAACACAAACTACACCACCAACACAAACCACACCACCAACACAAACCACCAACACAAACTACACCACCAACACAAACCACACCACTAACACAAACTACACCAGCAACACAAACCACACCACTAACACAAACTACACCAGCAACACAAACCACCAATACAAACTACACCACCAACACAAATTACACCACCAACACAAACTACACCACTAACACAAACCACACCACTAACACAAACCACCAACACAAACCACACCACTAACACAAACCACCAACACAAACCACACCACTAACACAAACCACCAACACAAACCACACCACTAACACAAACCACACCACCACAGACAGCAGCAGCCTGATCATGTGACCTTGTCGGAGTGCTCGTAGTGCCGTCGGGCCTCCCACAGCAGCTCCTCCATGTCGCTGAGCTCCTCCCTCAGAGTGTCCACCTGGAACATCAAAGCGGTCTTCTCGTTGTGAAGCTGAGCGTTGGAAACCATCGCTCTGCGGTACTTCTCCTCCGCCTCCACCAGGGAGTCCTGAGGACGGACAGCAGTTCATCATCTGGCCCAGCATTCTAATTCAAACCAGTTCCAAACTGCTCATGTGACTCGGAGTCGCTGTACCTTCATTTCTCTGATAGACGCCTCAGTTTCCAGGGAGACAGACGTGTCACAGCTTCCTCTGCGTGACGAGGCTCCGCCCAGAGAGGCGAGTGTGGCGGCTGAAAGTGTGGACGCTGTTCTGGATCCCTGAGACCAAAAGGACTTGTTTACAGAAAGAAAATCAGAACCGTTTAGCTGATCACCTCAGATTAAAACAGGATGATCACACTGTGTAAAATAAAATAAAAAAACTAATAAATACATAAAAAACAATTGTAATTTCAGGAAATTCACACTTAAGTTTAATCAACAGAAGACAGTAATCAAAGTAAAAATAAGATTAAAATTAAACTGGACTGAGCTTCATTTGCATCACCTTATTGATGAAGTCTCGGTCCGGTCTCTCCTCCACCTGAACTCACAAACACAAGTATAACTCAGCCTTACCCTGGAAACCAACCCATCAGCTGCAGGAACACAGAAAATCAGCGGGGGGTGGGGGTGGAACCACAGGACAGGGAGAGACAGAGACAGAAGCTTACCACTGGGCTTGCTCGAGCTGAACTGGCCCTGGAGGAGGCACGAGAGCTGGAGCCCAGCAGGCCACCGTAGTCTGAGGGCTGAGCGGGAGGAGGTGGGGGGCAGACAGAAAGTGAGAAAGACAGAAAGAAAGAAWATAATTTATTTCATTCAAACTGATCAGTAATGAATGAAAAACAGGAAGTGACATCAGAGGTTAGCAGATCACTGGTCCCGGATGGATCTGGTCCATCATCATCTGCTTTATGATGGACTACCTGGACTATGATGGACAAGATGATCCATCATGAGTCCATGAYGAATGGTCTCTAGTGAAACAACTTGTTTTGGATGATTCAGCAGGTCCTTGATAATTCAGCAGGTCCCTGATGGATCAGAAAGTCTTAATGTTTTCAGGATTCAGTGTAGCACTTACCCTGAGGCTGCCTCGACTGCCTACAGACAGTCTCTCCTCATCGTCTGAGATCTACACACAAGCAAAAAAAAAAATGACTTGGAGGGTAAACAAGATCTAGAGTCAAGTGTCAGCTTGACCACGCCCATCAGTGATGTCACAGCCAACACCTGAGGGACACGTGAGGAACAGATATTGAAAACTGATGTAGAGAAAGAAGAGATACAGACCGAGGTGTGTCTCAGAGAGAGACCTGAGTATCGCTCACTGTCCTCCTGAAAGAAACACATTAAAGAGGAGAAGAAGCAGTATGCATTAAATGAGAAGAAAAGTACAAATAAATAAAATGAAATAATGAATTATGTTAATATAAAAACAACTTTTTAAATACAATTTATGTCAAATGAATAGAATTTAGACATGATGAAGAGCCAATGTGAGAACCATGCAAAGTGAAACAAATGTACTGGTGTACAAACCATGCTCAGGTCAACAGGTGAACAGAGCGTGCTCATGTCGACAGGTGTACAGAGCATGCTCATGTCGACAGGTGTACAGAGCATGCTCATGTCGACAGGTGTACAGAGCATGCTCATGTCGACAGGTGTACAGAGCATGCTCAGGTT